TAAACTCTAGCAATTTTTCATCTTTGTATTTGGTCATCATCAAAATTTTCTTGAAACAAAATAGCTAAAAGGATAAGGCATTCAAACCTCAGGGATTTCCAAGGTTGGCATAGGCGGAAGAAAATCATTTCTACAGCTTTCTACTAGAGTGTTTGGATTAAATGTGTATGAAGAAGCATGTACTGTAGGAGAAAAACGTACAAGTGTCTCGTGGTCTTTGGAATTTCTAAATCTTCTTGTTCTTTGCTGGTTCATTTTGGCTTTTGTAATGACCAAAAGTCTTTAAAAGTGAAGAAAATTTCTCACCTTTTTTAGAGGTAGTTGAGCAGTGAAAATGACGCTCTTAGCATCATGGATTCTTTCTGTAGCTGGATCACTGTCAATGTGAAGAAAAGAAAAATTGAATGTGAGCACTTGATCTTATAAAATCACATATTCAAGACCCCTTTTGTAAGATCCATTAAAACAAAGCAATCATAGCTAAAAAACTTTCTCAGAGTAAAATCATCGAACAGTACTGTTTGGAAAATCGGTCAAGAAGTCATTGACTTACATAACAACTAAGTTTGGAAAATCGGAGTAAGGTCTGAGGGTTCTTTTGTCAGGGCTTGAACTCCAGCACCTCCAAGAATTATGGCATGCGATTGAAAACCAGGCTCGACGACCCGCTGACCTCTGCCCATGGAATGGAAGGGGTGAGAGAAAAAGAAATTGGGACCAAAAAAGAAAGCAAAATTTTAACTTATTCATCTTCATTTATTATCATATTGATGGGAGGAGAGGATTGCAATTACAGAAATCTAAACATGGAATAGCATATACCTGATTAGAATCACCCCCTCGACGAAAAGAAAAAAAGGCGATGAGGGCGTTAGATGGAGTGTAGACATGGGTAAATGTTGATTCAAGCCCTAGAAATCGCTCCAAAGGGGTCGGCAATGGGAGGAGAAACGATTTTCAATGTAAGATAAAGGACTGAAATCTGTTCGATTGCTTCGATTTAGGCGTGAGATGCTGTAATTTCCGTTCAGCTCCACTGCCCTAGGCTAAAAAAAATTAATATACGATTAATTTTGGTCCAATTAAACTATACATACCATAAAAGCTCTCGAAAACTTGATGCCCCCAAGATCAATGATGTCCTGGGCCATGGCCCTACTGCCCCCGTTGACTGACCGTGGTCGAGAGCTTGCTATCTAGAAGATTGTTTGTCATAAGATGGTAAACGAGCACCATGACAACCACTACAACCACCATATGTGCAACTATAACAACCGAAGCAAGAAGATATGTCTGTGATTAGGGTTTGTAGAGAGACGGGAAGAAGAGAATGAAGGGAGATCTTGAAGCGGGGTATTTAAAAAATTTAGAATTTTAAGAGGATTTGATTTCCCCTGAACGCGCGTTTTGAGTGAAAAATTATAAAGCGACACTCACAGAGGACACACATTTTAAATAAGCGCCCTTCGTGTTTGTATTTTTTTGTGGTTCAATAATTTTACGGCACGCAAAAATGCGCGTCCTAAATTCTTCAAATTTCTAAAGATCTGATATTATTTTTAGGGCACGCCCTTTTGCGTATCATTAATCAGTACGTGTCGTAAAAAGCGCGTCATTAAAGGTCTGTTTTCTAGTAGTGTCAAGAAAACCACCATCATCGGGTTGCAAGTCCCATCAGGAAAGAAATCAGTGAACAACGAAAGGGTTAATGATGGTGAGTTTGTGGCGGTGAGATTGAGATGTAGCGAAGGTTGTGGTGGTGACGATGACAGTAACGGAGATGGTGGTCCACCTCAAAATTTGAACTGAATCGGGATTGATTGATGATTTGTAGCGATGATTTCCATGATGGGGTTAAGTTTGATGGTGGATGTAAAGGAGCGACAGAGGGATGAATTCCTCCACCATCTTCAGGCGGTGAAAGTGGTGATGAAGAATTTGAAGCAGGTAGTGAAGTGAGGGTCGGATCCATATGTCAAGGTAAACATTTTCCGACTAATAGAATTAGAATCAGTCTACATGAAAAATCATAAATTCATCTGCAACTTGTTTGAGCACCCCTATAATTTTTTAGCAACAAATGTGTAGTGGAGAGGTTGTCATCGGATTTAAAGAAGGGATGGGGGAGGGGGAGACAGTCAGACAGGTATAGAGTAAAAGGTTAGTCAAAATGAAATTATGTATACAGTTAGAGAGTGATAAATTCGTCATTTTATATGTACTTAACTATTCTTTTTAATGGAGTTAGTCAAAAGGACTAACCGTGCTTGATTTTGAAACCACAAGGACCATCGGTGTTACCCTAATGAAAAATATCCTTAAGTTGCTACTTTTTGCAAACTACAGTAACCATTTTTAAAATTTTATCTATTATTTTTGTCCAATTTGTTTGACACGTGTACCAAAAGGGGGAGACATAGAGTTTTTTTTTACCACACAATAAAACCCTTTTGGTTTTCTTTTTAGGATCAGAGTTTCGAAAGTTTTTGTTATATATATAATGGAAGAGGTAAGAAAAGATAAGAAGCGGCTAGAAGACAGGTCCATGTATGTTCCAAGAAGAGAATGTGCAGACCTTTTTAGGTTTGCGGTCTTCTACAAAACAAAGAGTTTGTGGGACCAAACATGTGTTTATACATTTCGCATTTGATACCTTTGGGTTTCTCGCATCAGAGACAGTGTAGCTCCTCAACAGTGTCTAACGTGTCATGCATAGTTATGGTATATCCCATAGATCCACGGATGTTATTTTCAAACGAATTAGTTTTGTCATCCAAAAAAGGATAGTGACACAACTTGTTGCCGATTGTCTTATGTCTATGTATTGACTTATTTTTGTTTAATATCAATTTGATAGGAATTGAAACAAAAAAAAAAAAAAAAAAAAAAAAAAAAAAAAAAAAAAAAAAATAGTTCAATATATTTGAGCTTTTACAAAAAAACAAACACCACAACATATTTTTTTTTTCCCTTTTAAGGCGGCACTGAATTTAATTATTTAAATCCGTAGGGAAAATTCTACTTCTATAAGATGTATGACATTGTAGCGCCCATGCTTCATTGGTGAGTGTATCTGTGTTACTGTGTATATGCCTCTGTGCGAAGAAATAGTATGATTTTTTTCAAAATCAAAATAGTTAGGATGTACCCAGTTGAATACATACATCAACGTTTATTAGTTTATATATGTTTTGAAACTTTAGGACATGTGATTTTTTATGATGAAATGAAAACATGTTACAAAATGGCTGTCTGAATGACTGAATACTAAATCCCAACACTTGAGCAGCTCTTACTGGAACACAAGAAAGGGATAGACTAGCTAGAGGCAAAATCGGTGAGTACTATTTAGCAACCTTTGCATATATACCAAAGTACAGTGAGATATGGTCAATATAAATTCTTAGGATGAATATTTATTTTAATATTGGATCCTTTTTGACAGATGTTTGATTGTAATTGCATGAGGGAGATATCAGATAAGATAAGATGACACGTATATATCGTTAAAATTTCAATGACATGATTTCTTACACATGCATATATTCATATCATATGAATTTTTTAATCAAATATTCTTTATTTTAGAAATATTTGTATCCACGGATATTTTTCTAACAACCATCTCTAGCTTTTAGCAATTGAAAAACGTGGATCCCGTGAAATGTTTTTTAATGCCAACTACCATGCCACATCAATCAACTATACAACCCTTGTTTGGCCGGTGTCTATATATAGCCAAGCACCTAATGGGCTAGATATTCAACTTCAGTTCCACGAAGAACATTCCCACCTTATCTGAAAATACACTCAGATCTAGCAAAATGGTATACTCTTTCACCATATATATTCTGAGAGTTTGTTATCTATATATTTGGGAATGTTAGGTTTATATGATTATCAGGTTAATTTACATCGTTTCTTGATCATTGCTAAAATTCTTTCAACTCTTTTAGTAATATTTTATGTTGGATCCATATGCAGGCAGGGAGTACTGTATGGCTTACACCTTGGGGAGGAAAGGGTGGAAACACATGGCAATTCATAATACCTGATGGTGCTAGGATTATCAAGATCAGTGTAAGAAGTGGAGACATTCTAGATTCCATCTGCCTCACTTACAAGGATGAGTCTGGCTACATTTTTTCTGAAAGATACGGTGGCAATGGTGGCTCACTCCATAATGTAAGCTGTAAATTCATTTGTCCAAGCGTATATAATCGAAGTTAATTAGGTTCTTATTTTATAATATAGCAGTCATGATATTTGTATTTTGGTAATTTCAGATTGAATTCGCTGACGATGAGAACCTCATCGGGATTAGTGGACGTTTTGGAACATTTCAAAACTTAACGGTGATTACGTCATTCTCTTTTCAGACCAACATTAAAACTTATGGGCCATTCGGCTTAAAAGGGGGGACTGATTTCTCAATTGGGCTGGCAGAAGGTAAGTTTTTTGGATTCTATGGAAGGAGTGGGAGTTACATAGATGCTTTGGGTGTCATTCTTCAGCCGTAAACATGATATATGGCAGCATGCATGTATTTTATAGGTTTTAAGATCGTATCTAGTCGTTTCTTCGATGTTAGACTATAAAAATAAGGTCGCATTCGAAGTTACAGTTACAATAAGCACACTTGTTGTGCATTTGGTTCTTTCATGTACCCCTTGAAGCGTCTAATTATAAATGGATATTTCATGCTTTCTTCTTTGCTAATACTTCTACCATAAATTTCGTTCTTCTTGTGTTGATTTCTTTAGTTTACACAATAATCTTCTTTTAGGGACATATCCTTTTCTTTTGAAGTTTTTGAGGACTCCCATTTATCCTTTCATTCATGTAACCATGCACATAAAGAAGAACCAACATACAGGTCCGCTATGTCGCTCAATGGAACATCTAAGGGGGGTTTAAGACTTTAAGTCATCAAAACTCTTTTTATATTAACTTAACATATGAATCAGTAAAATTCTCAAAAGAAATGTTGTTCTTTAGAAGGCCATGGAAATAAAATAATAACTTTGTCACTTTACTACAAAACTGAACCACTTCCGACATCCAACACGTACCGTGGGAATGAAATATGGGGAATATGAACTTTGGTAGAGGGAATGAAATATAGAAGTGGGAAAAATTAAAGAGAAATTAAACCTCCTACCATTTAGGCCTACAATTATTCCTGCCCACTAAAATTATAACAAATGATATATTCCTAATATAGCCTTAATGAGTTAGTTAAAAAAAAATATGAAATGATGACACTTATCATAATTTTATTGGGTAGGAACATTTGTAGGCATAAGAAGTAGGAAGCAATTTAATTTCTCAAAATTAAAATATTAAATTTTATTTTCCTTAAATTATATTAAGAGTAAATTACATGTTTGGTCCTCCATAGTTTGTTGAAAGTAACACCTTTAGTCCATAATATTCATTTATTGCAGTACTCTTAGACCATCTCCAACCTATTTCCATTCCCCCCCCCCCCCCATAAATGGAGTAAATAGTG